CACGACGCGTCAGTCCTCCACGCGTCCAAGTTGATCTCCGCCCTGGTGGTGGATCTCTTCGGCACCGACGCCTTCGAATCCGCCGTCGAACTCAACATCCCTCCTTACATCTTCTTCCCCTCCACCGCCATGACCCTCTCCTTGTTCTTCCACTTGCCGGAGCTGGACCGAACGGTGTTGTCCGAGTACCGTGACGTGCATGAGAAGCTTCAAATCCCGGGATGCGCTCCGATCCACGGCCGGGATTTGATCCAGCCGGTTCAGGACCGGACGAGTGACGCGTATCAATGGGTGCTTCGTCATGCGAAGAGGTACCGAATGGCGGAAGGGATAGTGGTGAACACCTTTCAAGAACTCGAGCCCGGCCCGGTTCGGGCTTTGCTTGTCAAGGAAAATGGTAAGCCCGATGTTTATGCAATCGGGCCTTTGATCAAAATGGGCTCAAGTAATCCCGAGATTAACGAATCCGATGCTATAAGTGTGAAGTTCTTGGATCGACAACCCAATGGATCAGTTTTGTATGTTTCTTTTGGGAGTGGTGGGGATTTATCACATGATCAAATAGTTGAGATAGCACATGGGTTGGAGAAGAGTGGCCAAAGGTTTTTATGGGTTCTTCGATGCCCTAACGCAAACCCTAATGCTTCATATTTCGACATTCAGAGCTCCGGTGACCCTCTGGCTTATCTGCCACAAGGGTTCCTGGAGAGGACCCAGGATCGGGGCCTGGTGGTGCCGTTGTGGGCCCCACAGGCCCAGATCCTGACCCACAAGTCCATTTGCGCTTTTCTGACGCACTGTGGGTGGAATTCAGTTCTCGAGAGTGTTTCCAGTGGGGTGCCGATGATTGCGTGGCCGCTTTACGCGGAACAAGGGATGAATGCGGTGATGCTACATGAGGATGTGAGGGTGGCTTTGAGGCCTCGTGTGGGAGAAAATGGATTGATTGTGAGAGATGAAGTCGCTAGAGTTGTTAAGGGTTTGATGGAAGGTGAAGCAGAAGAAAAGGAGATTCGTGGTCGAATTAGGGATCTCAAGGATGCAGCTGCAAATTCGCTAAGTGAAAATGGTACATCTACAAAATTTCTTGATGAATTAGCTGAAAAATGGAAAAGAAACAATTCTTGCAAATAATTTCAAGGTCCATTTGGATAGAAGGATATGGAGGAGGGATTTTTAATCCATAATAACAAATCTCTTGCATTTGTTTGGATTGAAGAATTTGCCACGGAATTTCAACTCCCAACCCCTATTTTTTGTTATAAATGGAGCAACTTATATATGGGGATTTCAAATGACTCCAAATTAGAGTTATTTCAAATTCTTCTTCTAGATCCTTTCTCCAAATCAAATCGTTCTATCCTAGTGGAGTCTAAAATATGTTTGGCACTTATTTTTCTGAGGTGCATGATTCACGTGTACCACTAATTTACTTGTTTTTGCCCTTTTTTTTTTACCCTTTGTTGTGGTTGGGGTTGTCTTTGAAAATGTCACATATTGTTACCAATCACTTTCGTGCGACTGGGTTTATACAAGTTGACTGATACTAGTAGTACTTCACCCTTAGAAACTCCGAATAGTTGTTTGAACAACGAGTTACATTTACGTACCATTAGTTCAACATTGACATGTTGGAAGCGATGAAAGAAATAACTGATTAGCCTTTACTACCAATTCTAAGGGGCCTTATTTTTTTCTTTTCAAAAAAGTAATTAATGAAAACTCATGGCAACCGTCGATGAAATTAGTACTATTATTCTTGTACGTATTGAACAATATCATAGAGAAGTTAAGATTGTAAATACTGGTATCCTACTTTAAGTAGGCGATGGTATTGCTCGTCTTCATGGTCTTGATGAAGTAATGGCGGGTGAATTAGTCGAATTTGACAAAGGTACAATAAGTATTGCTCTAAATTTGGAATCAAATTACCTTAGTGTTGTATTAATGGGTGATTGTTTGTTAATACAAGAGAGAAGTTCTGTAATAGCCTTAGCTAAACCTATTGATGGTACGTAGAGGTGAAATTCCAACTTTTGAATCTCGAATGATTGAATCTCCCGTTCTAGGTATTACTTCCCGGTGTTCCGTATACAAGCCCCTTCAAACCGGACTTATTGCTATTGATTCCATGATCCCTATAGGACGTGGGGAGTGAGAACTAATTACTGGAGACGTTGTTACAGTAATATCACAGTCAACAACAATAATATTAACATTATTGCCATGGACAATAATATTAACATTATTGCAGTTGACAATAATATTTACTAATATTACTTTCAACCACAATAATTTATTTTTTTGACTTTTTATTATGTTTGCCTTTGTTGACCGGTCAACATAATAATATTATTGTATTACAAAATAATTTATTATGTAATATAGTGATTTTGCTGTGTTAATATTATTGTGCTAGATAATAATATAACAATATGACTATGTTAAACAATAATATAGTTAATATTACTATCAACTACAATATTACTGCTTCTTAAGGCAGCCAAAAAATGTTCAAGTAAAAAAATTCTAAAAAAAAATTAAAAAAAGAGTCAACGCCGCTGAATGCCGGCTTTGACCGTCGGTTAGCGGTGGCGGCTGCAGGAAAAAAGAGCATAAAGAAAAAAAAAAGTCAATGATTGAGACCGGCGACGACATTCAAAATTGGGTTAGGGATCAAAATTGAATAATTGGTGAAATTTGTGGTTAAATTGAGTTAAATGGGTGGAATTGGAGCATATTAAAATGTGATGGGGGTATTTTAGTCCTTTACATACCTCCAGACTTTGTTTGGATTTTTTTGAAAAAGAGTTTTTGGTGTGATTCTCCTTATGAATAAGTAGCCGATGATGAGCTTATTTGTAATAAGTACTCATTAAATAAATGGCAATTTGCTAAACGTACACTCTTGAAGTTAAATTTCCTTTTATATCAGGACAGTCATACTCCTTCTGGCAGTATAGTTGGAGATCTTAGACTGAAAATAGACATTTTAAATTGAAAATATTTTATTCTCCTCCACCTCAACCATCATCAAAACGACATCTACTCTAAAAAATGGTGTTTCTTCGGCTCATCCGCCTCTCCCTATCCGTCCCCTGTCGTCGACGACTTAATTTCTGTCAACAATGTAACTGGAAAATGTTGCTCTCATTGGTCTGAGTTCTTCTTTTGAGTAATTATGTCTATTTCTTATTTAAATTCTCCAACTAAGCCGTCCATTTTCTAATACACTTTTTTTTAGCCGGTCTAAGCTCTACAACTAGGCCATCTATTTCACTTTAAAATGTCTATAGTCGGACTAAGTTGTCTAACTAAGATGCGCTATGAAACTTTAAACAAATTCACAATATTATGGGGCGAACTTTTAGCTATATAAAATAGTTTTGAAGAAGTTTTAACCAAATTTCCCTAAATAATTTAAACAGAATGGCATTTTTACTTCCGATAAATTTGGGGGTGAAAGTCGGATGAAACGAATCGGAATTAACCTTTCCGTTTTTTTTTAAATGTTTTTAGAAGTACAAAATTAATTTCAATAATTCCAAAACTTTCGGAATCTAGAAATTCATCATAATTCCAAAAGTTAAGGAAATACCGGAATTTTCAAAAATCACATAAGTTTTAACATTAGGGGCCTTTACAAATAAGTCCATCAATGAGTACTTATTCATAAAGAGATCTAGACAAAAAATTCATTTACCAATAAGTCCATATATGGTCCAGATTTTTGTAAAGGACTAAAATAACCCCTCATACTTTTAATATACTCCACTTTCATCCTTAACATTATTTAACCTTAATTTGACCCCAAATTTCACAAATTATTCAATTTTGACCCAAAACTTTTCAAAATTTATATTTTTTTTTCCTTCCGGATTTTTTCGCCGGTTTCCGGCGTTCATTTTTTTTCGATTTTTTTTTCTTTTCTGTCTTTCTGTAACCTTTTTTTTCCGTTTAAACATCAATATTGTTGTGATTGACAGTAATATTAACTATATTATTGTTAAGCACAGTAAAATTAAAATAAACTACAGTAAAATTAAAATAAACTACAGTTTAACACAGTAATATTGCTATATTAATCCCTAGCACAATAATATTAACACAACAAAACTCATTATTATTGTGTAATAGAGTATTATTACTATGTTGACCGTTCAACAAATGTAAACATAATAAAAAACCAAAAGAATAAATATTACTGTGAGTGATAGTAATATCACTATAACAACAGGAATATTACCGTCAACCACAATAATATTACAATAATAGACAATAATATTATTACGTTACTCCGTGAATAACTCAAACAAACAAAACATCCAAACAAAATAATAATATTGATGTGGTTGACAACAATATTACTACAACAACAGTAATATTACCGTCAACCACAGTAATATTATTGTGTTTACAGTAATATTACAATAATAGACAATAATATTATTACGTTACTCCGTGAATAACTCAAACAAAACAAAAAACCCAAAAAAATAATAATATTGATGTTGTTGACAGTATTATTGTGTTTACAGTTATTTATCTGTCAACGACAGTAATATACTTACATTGACTTGTCAACAAATCAAAAAAAAAAAACAAAAAAAAAAATAATATTACATTAATTTACTGTCAACAACAGCACAATTACATAAATGTATTGTCAACGGCACTACAATTACTTTAATTAACTGTCATTGGCAGTAGAATTACGTTAATTTACTGTCAGTGACAACACAATTACGGTCAACGTTTAGCGGTGGACGTAAAAAAAAAAACAAACTAAACAAAAAAAAACTTTAAAAAACACTAAAAGAAGTCAACGCCGGAGACCGCCGGAAACCGGCGAAAAAATCCGAAAGAAAAAAAAAAAAAAAAAAAATTCAATGCCGGAAACCGGCGAAAAAATCCGAAAGAAAAGAAAAAAAAAATTGAAAAGTCAACACCGCAGACCGGCGTTGACCGCCGGAATCCGACGGCAAAATTTTTTTTTTTGAAAAATAAGTTTTGAGTCAAAATTGAATAATTCGTGAAATTTGGGGTCAAATTGAAATTAAATTAAGTTAAGGATGAAATTGGAGCATATTAAAGTAATTTAAAAAAAAAAGTCAAAATTGAATTCTTATGGTCAATATTGGATTTTTGTGGACTAAATTGATTAAATTGGGGTTACAATTAAGAATTGAGTATAAATGGTTGAGGGTAATATTGACATATACATGAATGGTAATATTGGCATATACATAAATGTTTCTTTTATTTATAATAAATATTAAAGTGATTGACTTATTGGTGAAAGAGATATAGCCCCCTATATATAATATGGGATTATTTGTCAAAAGCCCCCCATTACACAAGTCTAATTACAATAGATCCAATTTTTTTTGGAATTTTTGAGATAAATCCATTTCAACATTAAATAATAAAAAATAATAAATTATCACTATTATACCCCTAACTTAAAACTTAAAAGTAACGTATGTTTTATGATTGGAAATAAAAAAAAAAAAAAAAAGATTTGTAATATATTTTCCTATTATATCGTAACAACACATCCTTACATAATTCCACAATTGAGCCCCGTAATTACAGATTCAACGAAATCTAGGTCATCACAGCCCCGCAACGGAGATTCAATTCCTCATCAGGGTCATCACAGCCCCTCTTATGCCTTGTTTTACTGTAGTCGTTGGCGTTCTACAATTTGAGAATATAGCGATAAATGGATTAGCCTCGTTGAACAGCCAGAAGTTTCATATTCTTGTCTACGGATGCAAGAAAGTGAAGATGGTTAATATGAAAATCTCAGCTCCGGCGAACAGCCCTAACACCGACGGCATCCACATACAGCAGTCGTCAGAAGTTACCGTGATGAACACGCACATCGGCACCGGAGACGGCTGCATCTCCGTGGGGCCCGACCACCAAAATTGTCCTACTCAGGTATATAAAGAAAAAAAAGAAACAAATTAATATACTAAAAAAAAGGTATATAAAAAAGTTAAAAGAAACTAAATTTTTTTGAGTATTAATATTAATTAACAGTAGTTGTTGTTGGATTATTGTTTTTGTTATTACAGGGGTTGGGGGTGAAGATAAGTGACGTGGCATATGAAGATATACATGGAACATCAGCTGCACAAGTTGCAGTGAAATTTGACTGCAGTAAAAAGAACTCGTGCAGTGGAATTACTTTGAATGGAGTTAATTTAAGTTACAGAGACAAACTGGCTACTGCTTCTTGTGCCAATGCTGCCGGGTCGGCTGCTGGTGTTGTCCGGCTAATCCATTTATTGCTATATTCTCCGAATTTTTCTGTTAACTTTTTGTTGTGTTTTTAGTCGATTACTTTAATTCGTTGTGAATTACGTAGATTTCGATAAGTTTGTAGTGAATTACTTCAATATTAATGTGCATTACTTTAATGTGATAGTGAATTTTACAGTAATGTCATAGTGGTTTTCGATAATTTCATAGTGATTTTTGAAACTATAAAGAGTGTTTTTCATGTTTA